GCTAACAGCTGGGATTGCTGATTGTGAACAGGTGCTGCAGCTGAGATCTGGGGAGTTAATGTTCACTGTCCCTCTCTTTATGTGTTTTTCTGCACACGTGTCTGTACGGACGGCTTATGTGCGTCCTTGTGTGCGCATGTGGCCACAAGTGTAAGCATGTGTGCACATTAACAAGAGCGAGCAACAATGTGGTGTTGTGCGGGCGCTGCTGGTTAGAAACCCAATAGCCAAGGACACAGAAGCTCAGCGGCAGCTGTCCCACTCTGCACCTCCTCTGACACTCGCCAGCGTTGACACATGGACTGACCCTGTCACAGCCTGCACATGCACAGAAGACTCTTCTGTGAGCCTTTGCAAGAAATATAGAATATAGTATATAAAAAGTTCTAACATGTTAAAAAAATATTGATGCTTGATCATAATGGCATGCAAATGTGAATGCATTGTACCAGTTATAGAAATGCTAACTAAAAAATGAATGTAAGTTACCCATCCATCCATCCATCCATCCATTATCTTTACCCGTTTGTTCCATTTTGGGTCACGGGGGTCGCTGGTGCCCATGTCCAGCAATCACTGTGCGAGGGGCGGGGTACACCCTGGACGGGTCGTAAGTCCATTGCAGGGCAATGTAAGTTACCATAAATAGTAAATTATTGGATGATGCTATAGATTTAAGAGGGGTGAGTGTAACAATACCCACTCCTTTGAATACTACTGTTGTTTTTTCTTCCTGCTTGCTTTTGTTTTAAATTTATTTTCTTTTTATATTATTTTGTTTATTCTTTTATTATACTATGTTCAATAAAGCTAAACTCAAACTCTAACACAGTGCAGCAACACGTCCACAGATGTCTATGTGTCCCTGTGATGGACTTACGACCCGTCCAGGGTGTACCCCGCCCCTCGCACAGTGATTGCTGGACATGGGCACCGGCGACCCCCGTGACCCAAAATGGAATAAACGGGTAAAGAAAATGGATGGATGGATAGACAACTGTGCTAATAAATTGAACACCCCGCACTTTGCTATTGTTTCTGCATAAACTAAGTAAAAGTGGGATTTTAAAACAAGTATAGTAATTTATTTTAACAGATCGAGATAATGAACAATTACTATCTTACCTGCTGTAGATAGATCTTCGTTTAGAGAAACAGAATTTGACTCTGCAAGCTAATGAGTAGTCTAAACTAAAGTAGATTTGCTGTCATTTTAAATGCACTTTAAGCTAAAAATAATCAGTGGTTTATAGAAATCATTTTAATAAACCTTTACATCACCACCTTTTTTGCATTATACAGTTTTTTTCTGCCTGTTTCGGTTTTCTTGCAGCTCATCGTTATCCTCAGCTCCTCTGGTCTCTCAGCTGCATCTCATCCACTCATTAAGCTCCGCCTTCCTTTAATCACAAGTTCCAGTGCAAACATCATTTTAGTTCGATTTATTATTTACGACCTCATCAGGCTTTGTATTTTATTAAGGTGTTATGTTTTCACTGATTCACCTGTGTTTTGGTGCTCACTGTATGACAGCATCCACTCAGACCAAACAGTTTTTGTAACATACAACCTGAGGGACAGTGTAGCAGCTGTGTTGGAGTCTTTTTCATGTTTGTTGCAGTGTGACGCAGCTTTGTCAATTTTATCAGAAGAATCTGAATCAACTTTATTGTCACTGCACAGTTAAGCACAACGAAATACATTTCAGTGCAGCCGTCCAAAAAAAGCAAGGGTAGACGGAGGTGCACGGAGGCTGCAGCTTCGCTGTGAAGCGCTGCCCTCAAAGTATTTATTTCTCAAACATTTGGACCAATGCTTCAGTTAAACTAAACCAAAGTTAACTTAATGGTAACAACTGGAGAAACAAGCGTGTTAATCCCACTCGTTGGCTGTGGAACCATCACTTGAGTTCCAACAAAGTTAAGTCAGGACCTCTGGATGGTTTCTTTTTGTTGAAACGTTTCTGTGTATATTGCAGCTCCTCTGACTGATGAAGTCTTTTGGATGAAAGACGAAATGTTTCAACAAAAAGAAACTGTCCAGAGGACCTGACTTAACCTTGTTGGATTTTACTACCTGGATTATTGAGCATGAATCAGGACGTCAATAGAGTTGTATTCTATATAGACTGTGACCCTGGGTTTTGATCTGCTCAGAGACGGATTGTAATAAGATGATAACTCGGTTCTGACCGGTTTAAACAGGGCCAGCAACTCTAAAAAAAAAAAAAAAAGTCTCCTAAGGATACAATATCCGTCAAGGAATAGAGTTTTATTTATTTTCTGTTATTTCTTTATTGGCTCGTCACATCACACAGAGAGGCTTTTTCTACACTGTATCATTTTTTCTGACACGTTAGACCACATAAGATCCAGTGAGATCACACTTAGTCCTATCCACTTGATAGGCTGTGCTCCTGGAACAAGGCGGAGCCTAAGTCCAATATAGTTGGAAGGCAACGTGTCATTCGCCCCCTCTGGTCCAAGATCTCGCGTCGAATTGTATCAGAGAGGCCGGCGCTGTAAACTGTCATTTTTTCCTGTCTTGATTTAATACAATTATTAAACTGAATTCACGTTTCCTTGATTTATTGAGATAGCGTGAGCTACTAATTTTGAGGGAGTCCGAGCCGGGGGCCACGTGAGCTGGAGGCGGGTCTGGGGGCCAAGATGAGGCCTGGGGGTCACAACTAGCAACAGCTAGCTGCAGCAGCTCTGGAGCCACGCAACAGAGTTCACCTTCTTTTTACACGTCCCAGAAATTCACTCCAGTTTATTTTACAGTAAAGTTAGATAAATACTGTTTCATACAATTTGATTACAATTATCTCATTATTTCATTATGGCCCATGCTTGTGAGTTTGTTAGCAAAATATCTCACAAACCACTGGTCAAACTTGACTGAAACTCAGAAGGAGATCATTGAACATCTAACGTTTGGAGCCGATTCAAGATGGCCTCCACAGCCAGCTGAACTCGAACTCAGAAATGGTTATAGTTCAGCCAGTTTTCAGACAAAAGTTTGTGTGGTAGTAGCTGAGAGTCATTCACAACACTCTGAGCTTCTGAGCCGTTTTACATGAAACTGTGCACTTTTTTCAATTTTTGACCAAATTGTCCATATTTCTGTCCTTTTCTCAGTTAGTTTAAAACTCTTGTATGGAAGGAGTGATGTGCATTGTTTGAGGTTAGAAGACGAGTTGTTTCCTCAGAGTTTAACTGAGCACAGAGAAAAGAGCTGAACAACCAGTCTGTATCATCCTCCGCTGAGGAGGCGTCTCTATTCTGAAATCTGTCAAATTCAGCAAGTCACAACTTTAATAAATCAGTTTAAACTTTTCTTAATAATCTTAGATGGATGCAGGGTAAAACACACACTCCTCCGTGCGTGCTTCTATCACGTGCACGCTCCTCTCCCTCGCGTCAGTTGTCCAGTGCTGCAGGAGCAAAAGGAAGCAGTGAGGGAGTTTGGAGCAGAAACTTTTCCCAGTTCAGAACCGACAGTCGTCCCTCAAGGCAGAACCAAACTCCAGAACATGATGAAGATGCTGCTGCTTCTCCTCATCACTGCTTTACACAGTAAGACATTTATTATTTTTACACACAAACACATAAAGAGTATTACTTTCATTAAAATAAAAATTAAAAAATTCTTAGTTTTTCTTCTATAAGATTTAACAGGAAAAGGCATCCAGTTTGTAGTTCTCGGTTCATCTCGTTTATCACGTTCACAGACTTTCAGTTTATAATAAAGGACATTTTGAGAGATTTGATGGGTTTAAAAACTGCTAATCATTTATTTAAATTAAACTTTCACGTTGAGGGCACTTTTATAAGCCCAATTACAAACAGGAAAGTTGAGAACAGAAATGCACCAAGTTTATTAATATGAAGCAAAAGGTAACTTCATGTGTGAGAAGTGTAAGATTAAAACTTTTTGGAAGTTTTAGAGTCAGTGTTTTGAAGGAACTTCTTCATGTTGTTCAAATGGATATTTTGTTTAAATGATTTACATTGACAACTCTTTACGCTCTCCATTTTGGGCTTGTTAATTTAATTGATTAATAATGTGTGATTGAGCTTGTGCAGGACACCCCCCCCCCTGCACATGGGAGATGTGTTTCAGGGGTGCACGGGGGTTAGAGATTATAAAGGGAGTGTCTGGGCTTGGTGTTTACACTGAACTGGCTCTGATGCTGTCTGAAGCAGAGATCTCGAGGCCGATGAGACGAAGTCTGAGATCCCACTGCTTCAGTTTGAGAGATGGCCTCTGGCTGACCCTGCTGTCAACCAAACTGAGATTAAAAACGACAAGTCTCTATCAGCAGAAATGCATTTGATGTTGCTGTGGGAGTTGTAAAAGCTGCTTCGACAACAACGTGTTTTATGTTACTGATTGCAGCTTTGACGCATGCAGGCGTTTTGATCGTTCCTGTATTTACTTGAGCAAACCAGAAGCTCTCACAAAGATGCAAAGATTAGTAAAATGCTCTGCGAGTTGAGCTACTTAAACATTTGCTTTGAATGTGATGGATGAAAAGCACCATGCAGTCATTCATGGTAGGTCCTAAACAGCAAAAAAACAAACAAAAAAAAAAACAACGTAATTTCTGGACTATAAGCTGCTACTTTTCCCACAGGCTTTGAACCCCACAGCTTATACAATGCTGCAGCTAATTTATGGATTTTTTTATTTTATATTTGTGAGGTTCTAACGAGCTTTCTGCCTGCAAAAGCATTTAGCTTAGTCACACCCAGGTGCTCACATAGCTGTCCAATACACATCTCTCTTTGGGGGTGGGTCCACTCAATGAGACTACCTGTATAAATAAATGTACAGAAAAAATCTGACTAATGAAATTACCGAACAGGTCACTGTGGATCAATATAACTTCAAATTAGCATAAATCAAACGTGCTCTCTAAATTCTTCAGATCAGGTATTTTGCGCTTCATGCACACACCCTCAAAATCTTTCTGAGTAAATATCTCATGTTACAACATGGACACCTACGGCTTAAACACAAGCGTGGCCTCTATATGTACAATTATTTTTAATTAGTGGGCGTGGCTTATATTCAGGTGCGCTCAATAGTCTGGAAATTACGGTAATATAAACTGGTAATATTTGATGTTTAAGAAGCATTTTGTAACCAAAGCACAACTTTTTGAAAGACTGATGACATGTAAGATAATAGTTTGCAGCCTAATTTAAAATGTTGCTTGGACAGAAGGTAAAAACATAATTTATGGTTTAATTTGGCTGTAAGGATTCAGAAGGAAGGCTAAAGTTAGCACAGGGTTTAGGTTAAGGTGAAGGGAAACAACCAGCACAGATGTACATGTTTCTGCGTGTGGCGCGTCAGCTGAAGAGGGTAAGGTTACTGTCACACAGGGCGCCTTTGTGTAAGACAAGCACATACATGTGTGCAACAAACACACACAGAGGAAAACAAGCATTGACATTTGTGCACAACAAAACACAATATATTCACGTAGTCCTTTAATTAAATGCTGCAAGGACTTTTGAAGCTATTGGTCATTCATTGTTGGATAGATTACTTTATTAACAAATGTGCGTGTTTATGTCGGAGTTTGAACATCTCTGAAGACTGAGGAAGGTTATCAGGTCAGGATACAACGGCTTGTCAGAGGGTGATACATCACATACATTCCTGCACACGACGGCTCCTGGCACCACAAAGTAACCCCACTCTTTGTGTTTCTGCCTGTTTACAGGCTTGCTTTACCATTTCTGTGAGGACATGCTGATCAAGTGACTTTAAATAAACACTTTTCTTGGCTTACAATTAAGCACAAATAAAGTTGGGAGGTTTTTGAATAATTTATTTACTGTTTTATGTTAGGATCGAGATCGTACCCAGGATGAAGGACCAGAAAACTGAACAGAGACCAGGACTCAAAGTACCAAAAGAACAGTGTTTATTTACAAAAAGTGATATTCAAGGTGATGACGTCTATATACAGGTGCCGGGAAGATATTTACAATAAATATATATACAGGATCACCTGAGGGGAAGAGGAAGAGGTTAGGGAGTGCAGGAGGGACTGGAACAATCTGTGAG